GGATGGATTCCACATCTGATTCAATTAGTTAGGCTTACTGTTACAAGTTCCTGCCACGGCTTGTCACTAGTGATCCACGCTGGTCCAGACGCGCAGACACGCAACCCGCGAGCAGGATCCGCCACTGTGGCAAAGATTTTCACGTCAGCGTCCTTGATTGTCGTGTCGCTGTACACCGTACTCCATTCCTGGTTGAGGGGTTAGTGCACAATCATGTACTTGAACTTGATAGAAAAATCTATTGTTTTTCTTGTGGGTTCTACGTGTAGGCTGAGTGAGTCAAATTGCGTGTCCTGATGTCAAGCCGGAACCAATGCCCCACTCCTTGCCCTGCTCAGCCATCTTCCGATACCTCGGGGTGCAAGTGACGCCCCACCCACGGTACAGAGTGAGCATATCGAATTGCGTGGAAGGCATGACGCAGGCATCCAGGCACTCCACGTATGCTGCGGGCAAGCCCGCTCCCACGGACAGTGAGAAGCAAGCGGCTCGTGGGCCTTGAGGAGCGAGCGCGCCAAGAGCACGCGGCGCAGACGCAGAAGGGGAACCACACTCAGGCTGCTTACTCGCGAGTCTGTGGGCAGCTCCGCGTACGGGTGCCCAGCCTCGGTCACTCCGCCCTCTGGACTTCTCCTTGCGGGCCGCGAATCAAAAAAGTACGGGTGCAAACCCTGCTCAACTGGCGCTCGGCCACCGTGCGCGTCTGGGCCGTGTACTATATATAAGCGCAGGAGCCCCAGGCTGCAATCGATCGGACGTCCATGCCCCGTGCATGTGTCGGCTTCGCGCGTCTCAGATGGTCCTCGATCGTGCCCGCCGAGAGAACATGCACCCGTCCGAGCGAGGTCACGTCTTGATCACCTTCGTTCCTGGCAAGGGGGAGGGACGAAGACGTGGACGGAGGGCAGAGGGGGTGGAGGTATCTCTCGTTTCCGGCAAAAGCGATTGCGCCCAAGGTGGTCTAGGAGGAAAACGACTAAATGATTTCTCGGCGGTGGATTAAGAAACCTCGCTCTAGTGAAAACAGCCTGGGGCCGAAACCGACGGACCTGGATCCGCAAGAAGGACGGCCGCGACGCCCTCTCGAGAACCGAAAAAGGCCAGTTTGCTCATCGACGCGTCAAGGTAGGAGGTCGATCCACCCCCGAACTTCAGATCGTACATCGGCGAAACGCACCCTTCACACGGCAAGCTGGGTTCTCTCCAAGACGCGCTGGGCACGCCGGCAGTTCAGGAGCGGTGCCCACTCTCGGGAGGCAGCGCCTTCGCACGAGGAAGGCAACCACTACCAGGCAGGCAGCGGCGCCCGGCTCCTTGCCCCGTGGAGTCTCGGAGAACCTAAGAGGAACACACGTCGGGAGCGGCCAAGAGGGGGGTGTCCAAGAGGGGGGGGTGCAAGTCATGACGGGCGGCATGTGCGCGGCCCAGCGGGGGGGGGGGCAGGGACGTCATGGAATGAGAAGAGGCGCCATGACATCTGAGGAAATGTCGTGGCCCCTGCCATGAGATCCACCCCCTGGTCATCACCCCCCTCTGTTTCCGCCCCCGAACACGAGCGGCGAACATGTCCGTGTCCGCGCCCCCGCGGCCTGGATCCCGGGGCGCGATCCCGTGGGTGCGCGGTCGCACGGGTGCGCTCCGCGCGGGGCGTCCGCGAAGCGACGCCCCGTCTCCGCGGGTGTGCGGCCCGGGGGCCCGGCCCAGGGGCCTGGCCCTCGCCTTCCGGTGAGACGCCTGATGTGAAGCGCTGGCCCAGCGTTCGCTAGGAGGCAACTCCTGGGAGGCCTTCGCCGGAAAGAGAAAGCTATCACGCCCGATTGAATGGACATTGAGCCAGATCAGGCCAGATCTGAAACGTGATTAAAACAGATTAGGCGGGATTCTGCCAGATTAGTCCAGGTTTCGACCAGGGATATATCAGCGCCAATTCTGAATCCTGACTCCCAGGAGGTGCATACTTCCGTTCGGGAGGGTGACAGAAAGCAGCACAAAGCCAAAACTGTCGGAGGTCCCAGCAAATTTCTTGCATCGGCGCCGGACCCCCCTCCCTGGAGCGGGGAGCGCGCCAGCGGCGCCGCCCAGGGGGCCCAGCGCCGATCCGAGAAATCCGCACGAACTCCGAGAGTACAGTCGGACCTAGGCCACAAAAACATCCCTCAAGAACATGAGACACCCCGCTGGCCAAAACGAACAGAACATCCGAGGGCAACCTCCCCGGGATTCAGAAGAGCAGACAACAACCACGAGGAACACGAGGGCACCCTCCCCGAACAGACCTTGATCTCATTAGGGGAAGAAGAAACGCCATAAACATAAACTTTTGGCGCTCCGCGCGGATTCCTCGGATCCAGGGGCGGCGCCGGAGGCGCCGCCGCGGGGCCCCAGGCTCAGATCCAAGAAATCCGCGCGGAGCGCCAACAGTTTAGATTATGGCGATTTTTCTTCTTCGGCTGATCTCATGGCTCCGTCCGACTGTACGGCAGGATCGTGTTGTGTCGACTCTGGCGCTGGTTCCTGTCGCCGGGATCGTTCAACCTCGAACGATCGGCCGTTTCCGAAACGTCCAAATCGTTCCACATCGACCGATTCTGGGTCGCTCGCAGCGTTCAAAATGGAACGCCGCGGGCGGGGTCGCCGCCGGTCGACACACGAACCTGAGTCGAACCTGAGTCGAACTTGAGTCGAACTTGCGTCGAACTTGACTCGAACCGGGGTCGAAGTAGAATCGAACAGATCCGACAGGTGAGCCCCAGAAGGGTCCCGCAAAACGAGCATCTGACATGCCGCGCTCCCCTCCGAGAGGAGCTGGCGTGGCGTTCGCGGGGTGGGGGATTGCCCCCAGGGGTTCTCCACGTCCTGGCAGAGGCGGACCGCCAGCTCGCTGCTGCGGGGGCAAGCAAATTGAGCGTGTTGCTTTGTTTTCGGCGATACTGTGGGCATCATAGGGGGGGGAGGAGGGGGGCCAGGGGGGGGGGTATGATGTAACGCCGCCTCCCCGCCCTGCGCACGGCGGCAGTGCCCGGAGCGCACTGGAGGGGGCGAGGGGCCTTACGTTACAGGGGGGGCGGCGGGCTATCATGCCCACTATGCCCAAAGCAATAAAGAGACACGCTCCAAATTCGCGGGGGCGTCCAGCCCCTCCGTCGAGGCCTGGTGCGAGCGGCACGTCCGCGGACAGGGTGGGCACGACGATCGAAAGCATGTCTTCCCCATTTTGAACGGGGCTCGCTGTCCGTGTCGCCGCGGACGGTGCCCACTTGAGACGAAGCATCGCCCGCCTAACATCGGCCGCTGGCGGATTTGAATCGCGTTTGAATTTGGGCGTTGTGCCAATGCCTGCCCGTGCCCACTTGGGCGCTCCAAGAGGACGAGTGCGCGCTGATCCTGGCGAGCACCAACTCAGCAAAGTCTCCCTGTTCGATCTGCCCTCGGTGCTCGGGTGAGCGGCGGGCAGGCACGGCCCGAGAGAACGTCGGAGGAGGAAGCCAACGCGGGCACACGACCAACAACCAACGCTTGCTTTTCGTTGAGATCACGGTGGTGCATGATGAGATGGGTCCTCCACGAACGGGCGACGGCGACAAAAATTGGGGGTATGGCATCAGGGACAACCTGGTTTGCTTGTTCCTAGTTCTTGTGGCGGCTGTCATTGGCGTCCGCCGAAAAACCAGCCCCGCCGCGCCCCCGACTGGGTAGCATCCGCGGTACTCTACCAGTCCGTGGTGCTCGCGCATTCGCGCCAGCACTCGGCAGAAAGTGGCGGCGGAGGTTGAGACCGAACTCGCCCGCAGAGGCAACATGAGGGGCAACGTTAGGGGACCAACGCAAGGGGGAAAACACAGTCTTGAAACTGGCGATGCATCCTTCCCCCCGAACCTGCCCCCCCGAACTAGAAGATTCCCATATATGTGGTCCGAGCAGCTGGGGTCGGAGGATCGCGCCGCCTCGCCATAAACACGGCATCAACATACAGTCGGACCGAGCCATGCGATCAGGGTCGGTTCGGGGAGGCTGCCCTCATGTTCCTCGTGGCTGTTGTCTGTTCTTGTCTAGGCCTCCCATATGGGATCGGAGCAGATGGGGTCGGATGGTTGCGCCGCATCGCCGATGAATCGGCGATGCGGCTCGACGTGGAGCCCGGCTGTCTCCACGCCGACGTCGCCGATGCATCGCAAGCGTCGCCGCAAACGTCGCCGACGCATCGGAGATGGCTCGGCGATGCACCGCCGATGCAGCGCGATCCTCCGACCCCATCGACTCCAACCCCATCTGGGAGGTCCAGACTAAAGCTGTCCCGACTTCAATCTCCCCAGCCGGGCAACGTCGTCGACGCCTACTGGGCTGGAGCCCGGCTGTCTCCACGCCAACGTCGCCGATGCATCGCAAGCGTCGCCGCAAACGTCGCCGACGCATCGGAGATGGCTCGGCGATGCACCGCCGATGCAGCGCGATCCTCCGACCCCATCGACTCCAACCCCATCTGGGAGGTCCAGACTAAAGCTGTCCCGACTTCAATCTCCCCAGCCGGGCAACGTCGTCGACGCCTACTGGGCTGGAAGGGGGCCCGAGCGGATCACGAGCGGCACTCCCGAGTGCATCGGCGCTGCGGAACAGCACGAGGAGGATCAGAAGGCACACGAGCGATGAGTCTTTCTGTCAGCGATCCCGCGAGGGCCGAACCAAATGGCCAACACTTAGGTCAACGCGTCGCCACTGGACGCGCGCGCACGCCTCATTCGCGGGCACGAGCAGGCCTCTCTGAGCGGGCAGCACGGGGGATGGCAAGCCAGCTGCCCTGCCCAAGTCTGTTATGTCAGGCTGGAAACAGCAGCAGCCCACGCACGGGCAGCCTGACAGAACGGGCAGGGGCCAGACCACCGCCAAACACACGCCACCCCCACACGAACGAAGAGAAACGCACGCGGCAACGTGTTTCTTCCCTCGAGCCCCTGATCACGGAGGGAAGCGACAGCCCCCGACAAGGGGGCCGGCGGCCCCGCCTGCAGGCCGCCAACCACCGCCGGCGCCAGCGCCGCCAACTCCGCCCCCGCGGCCTCCATCTCCTCGCCGCGTGGGAGGGAAGACGACGAAGAAAAGAGTGATGATGATGATGATGATGATGATGATGATGATGATGGTGGTGGTGGTGGTGATGGTGGTGATGATGATGATGATGCTCATGATGCTGATGGTGATGGTGACGGTGATGGTGTTGGCGATGATGATGATGATGATGATGATGATGATGATGATGATGATGATGATGATGATGATGATGACAATGATGCTGATGCTGGTGCTGATGCTGATGACGATGATGATATTGTTGTTGGTAAGGATGATGATGATGATGATGATGATGATGATGATGATGAAGACGATGAAGAATATGATTCCGACAATCGCAATCAACACGTACGTGCGCATGACAATGCGAACACATATAATAATACCATACATAAAAAGCGCACGAAATATCCGACACCGTGCCTCTGGCACGAAGCAGAGCGCCCCAAGGATCATGCAGCACTGAGGGCGTGACGCTGTACTGCTGCTGCAGCGAGAATCGTAAGGCTTCAGAGGCCTGGGCACGACGTCCGAAGCCTTACTGGGCTGACCCCCGTGAATTCTTGGGTGTCTCCTGCGCCTCCTGTGGATGCTGTGCCCCACCCAAACTCACCCCCCGAACCATGCCACAAGTCCAAGATGGCCCTGAGTCGCCGGACGGTCGCTCCAAGACGCCCAAGATGGCCCCCAAAACCTCCTGGACGACTAGGAGGCCACAACGAGGCCTGCCAAGAAGACCCCAAGAGACAAACATCATTGATTGGACTTGGGCTGTTGATAGAATTGGGCTTATCGTCTTCTCGGCTCTCCGACGCTGCCAGACGGCCAAAGGCGGCCCCCAAGACCACCCCAAGAAGGCCCAAAATGTCGCCAAGACGGCCTCAGACGGGCCTAAGAGCACCCCATGACGGCCCAAGTGGCGCCCAAGACAGCCCAAGAGGGCCTCAAGACGGCCCCAAGAGAACCCGCACCCCAAGAGGCCCCCAACAGGCCCCAAGATGCCCCAATGAGGCCCAATAAAGGCCCCAAGAGACCACAAAACGGCCCCCAAGGACTTCAAAGCTGCCTCCAGGAGGCCCCCGAGGAGTCCCCCCACGAGATCCCAACGAACATCCAACAGGCTTCATTCCCGTAGCCCAGGAATGGTGGCGAGAAGGGCCGGAGGCCATTTGATAAATAGATGGAAACGCACAAATAGAATGCACCAACTACAGGCCACAGAGTTCCGTTCGTACGTAAGCAACTGATGCGTTGCGGCCGTGCTGTCGCCGTCGCCGCCAGGGCAGGCCGCGCGCCCCCCGCGGGCGAGCCCTCGGGGCGAGGGCGCTCTCGCCGGACGCGTCTCGCGGAGACGGGTCGCCCAGCAACGGATGGGAAGACCGGATCGCATCGGACGGAAAGGGGGGGAGGGAGCGGGGGACGGCCCTCCTCCTTCCCCTCCTCTCCTCGTCGTCCTCCTGCCCCCCTCCCCTCTCCTCTCATCCCCCCTCATCCTCCCCCCCCCCCTCCCTGGCCCATTATCGAGCCTCCGCTGCTGCCCCGTTGCCGCCGTCAGGTCGGGGAACCCGATCGGATAAGAAGGAAAAAGGGGTCCCCCTCCCATTCCTCCCGCTCCTCCTCCTCCTCCTCCTCCTCCTCCTCCTCCTCCTCCTCCTCCTCCTCCTCCTCCTACTCCTCCGCCTATTCTCCTCCTATTCTCCGCCTATTCCTCCTCCTATTCCTCCTCCTATTCCTCCTGCTTTTCCTCCTCGTCCTCCTCTCCTCGTCCTCCTCCTCCTCCCTCCCTCCTCCTCCTCCCTCCTCCCTCCCTTCCTCCCTCCTCCCTCTCCCTCCTCCCTCCTCCCTCCCCTCCTCCTCCTCCTCCTCCTCTCCTCCCTCCTCCTCCTCCTCCTCCTCTCCTCCTCCTCCTCCTCCTCCTCCTCCTCCTCCTCCTCCCTCCTCCTCCTCCTCCTCCTCCTTCCCCTCCTCGTCCTCCTCCTCCTGGTCGTCCTCTTCTTCTCCTCCTCCTCCTCCTCCTCGTTCCTCCTCTCTCCTCCTCCTCCCCTCCTCCTCCTCCTCCTCCTCCTCCTCCTCCCCTCCTCCTCCTCTCCTCCCTCCTCGTCCTCCTTTCCTCTTTCCTCCTCCGTCTGCTCCTCCCTCCTCCTCCTCCTCCTCCTCTCCTCCTCCTCCTCCTCCTCGTCCTCCTCCTCCTCCTTCCTCCCCATCTCCTCCCCATTCCCCTTCCTCCCTTCCCCTCCCTGCTCCTCGTCCGCCCGCGCCCCCCTCCCTTTCCTCCGCCGACTCCTACTTGTCGTCCTCGTCGTCCTCGTGGTCCTTTTCGTTCTCCTCGTCCTCCCCGTCATTCTCGTCCTCCTCGTCCTCCTCGTCCTCGTCCTCGTCCTCGTCCTCCTCGTCCTCCTCGTCTTCGTCCTCGTCGTCGTCCTCCTCCTCCTCCTCCTCACCTCCTCCTCCTCCTCCTCCTTTCTCCTCCTCCTCCTCCTCCTCCTCCTCCTCCTCCTCCTCCTCCTCGTCCTCCTCCTCTTCCTCCTCCTCCTTCTCCGTCCTCCCCGCTCCATCCTGCGCCGCGCGCGGGTCTCTTCCGCGCACCCACCCCACCCCAGGTGCGGCCCACCGCTCGGCGGCGAGCCGCCCCTGGGGAGGAAGGGGCGCGCCGACTGGGGCGTGTAGCTGGCTCGCCCAGGAGCACGCGGGCGAGCGCCTCGCCCGCGCGGCCGCCTGGCCAGCGAGCGGCCTGGGCACGAGCCCTGCGGGCCCGCCGCCAGGCGCCAGCCCGCCGCTCGCGGCCCTGCCCGCAGCGCCGCCCCGCCCGCCTCCGCCGTCAGCCAGCGCGCCAGTTCCCGCGCCCAGAAGCAGCAACTCCGAGTCGCCGCCCGCCCGCCCAACGGCAATGGCCAGCAACAGCGCGGCACCCGCCTTCTGGCCAGCGCGTCGGGCCCGCTCGCTGGCCGCGGCCAGTGGCGGCGCCCGAAGGCTTCAGGCCCAGTCTGCAGCCTGGCCTGCGCCGCCCGCGCAGCTGCGCTACCCCGTGGCCCCCGGCACCAGCCGCCCGGTCAGCGGTCGGCGGTCAGCTGCCCGAGCGGGCAAGCTCAGGCGCGCCACGGCTTGCAACGGGCAGCCGCCGCGCCGATGGCGCCCTGCGGCAGCGCGGCCGCGCGCCAGGCCTCCGCGCTGCCGCGCTACAGTGTCGCGTCAGGCTCCGCAACGCGGCCGCGGGGACCTGCCGGCCCCTGGCGGCCCAGGTGCGCAGCAAGGCCTGCGCCTCCTTGCCAGGCCGGCCCAGCGTCTTCAGGGCGAAGGCTCGCAGCGCTGGCCCTGGGTAGCGCCAGCGCATATTGCGCTCTTCGGCCGCCGCGGCCGCGGCGCCGTCCCGGGTCGCGCGGCTGCGGCTGGCACCCGTGCCAGCCCCGAGCGTGGCGTCGATGACTGCGTCGTCGACGCACAGCCGCCCTGCCACGGGGTCGACGGACGCCACGTCGAGGCGCGCGGTTTCCACGCCGCCATCCTGGCGGGCGCGGTTTCAAGCGGGCACGTCCTGATCGGTGGCCACGCCAGCGGCGCCCCGCTCAGCCAGCCAGCCGGCCAGCCAGTCGCGCACGCCGTCTTGTCTGTCGATGGCCAGCCCGCCCCCCGGGCAGCACGCCGCGTGGCCGGGGTTTGCCCGCAGGTAGCAGTCGCAAACCGTGCCGCGGCGCTTCCGCCGCAATCACGTAGTGCTGGCTCCCTCGTGCAACGGCAAGCCAAGCCAGAGGGCGAGCGCAGGCCGCAGGTGCTCGTCGGCCAGGAGGTGGGCCCGCGGCGCCGGGGGCAGGAGGAAAGCGCCCCGCCTCTGCCGCCCCCGGAGCGGAGGCTGGCGGCCTGGCCTGGCTCGCGGGCAGGGAGGCCAGCAGGCGAGCGCGCCGCTGTCTCTGCGCGGGCTGAGCCAAGCGTTTCTGCGCCTTTTCCAGGCGCTCCGCTGCGGCGCAGACCCAGCTAGTAGCGCCCGCGCCACCCAGCCGCCCCGCCTGCTCGGCCGCCGCCCACGTCTAATGGCAAGCGGCGGCAAAGGCCTCGAGGCTGGGTTCGCCCAGCTCACGGCGCACCTCTGCAAAGCAAGCCTCTAGTAGTCACCAGGCGAACGCTCCCCTCCACCACGCGCTGATCCTCCTCCTTCGTCCTCCTCCTCCTCCTCCTCCTTCTCCTCTTCCTCCTCCTCCTCCCTTTTCTCCTAGACCTCCTCCTCCTCCCCCCTGCCCCCTGTATTTCGTGGGGCTCGTCTCTCAGTCCGTGCACGTGCTGTGCCCTGCAGAGAATCCCCGCCTGCGCGAGCGAAAACAAAAAAAGATCCTCGCAGAGCGCGGTGGCCTCCGCGTCCAGCCGCGCGCAGCCCGGCACCTGGCGACCGACGAGGCAGGGGCCACGTCAGGGGGAGGAGCGGCCCAGGGGGAACACTCGTTGTGCTGGGTGTTCCGAACACTCAAGATTTGTATTGCAACCCCTCCGAAGACCCCCGTTGGACAGACACCGGACACTTCGGAAACAGACAAGACAAGACACCTCGCCGCGAGGACGCCCTCCAGCCCGACGCCCTCGCCCGTCCCAATGCCTCCGAAGCCGCGCCCGCAGCCCCCCCCCGTGTCGGGGGGGCGCAAACATGGATCAGCGATCCATGGATTTGGCGCGAGGTCGCCTAATCCATGGATCGGGGGAGGTGCCCTCCCCAAAATGCGGCCCGTGCCGCCTCGTTCGGCGGCGGAACTCCGCGATTTCCCACGTCCCCTTGACCCACGTTTGCGATCGCCTGCATGTGGCACTGCCTCACGTGAGCGACGGAAAGAAGCGGGTGCCACGCGAGATGACACAGCGACCTCACGCGGTGGCTCTCGCAGGCCGCTGGTGTGGCGCGCTGCAGCGGAAACGAGGGCGACTGCGAGCGACCCTGCGCGGACAACTTACGGTTAGGTCGGGCGTGACCCCCTACATGCGGGATTTGGACGAACAGTGTTTGTTTTTGCAAAAAAAAAAAAAAGAAAAAAAAAACGCCACAAATAATTCAAAATGCTCAGAAAATCGTCCCCGGATTATTTTTTGCCATTTTTGAATGTTCCTCCTGTAGAGGGGCACGCCCGACATAAACTTACGGGGCAGCGACGGTGAAGACGGCTCCGCTTCTTGGCGCCGCCCACCTGGCGACCGACGAGGGGGCAACGCCAGGGGGAGGGCCGGCTCAGGGGAAACCACTTTGAGTCCTCCTCCTCCTCCTCCTCCTCCTCCTCCTCGTCCTCCTCCTCCTCCTCCTCCTCCTCCTCCTCCTCCTCCTCCTCCTCCTCCTCCTCCTCCTCCTCCTCCTCCTCTCCTCCTCTCCTCTCCTCTCCTCTTCCTCCTCCTCTCCTCCTCTCCTCCTCTCCTCTCCTCTCCTCTCCTCTTCCTCCTCTCGTCTCATCTCCTCTCCTCCCCTCTCCTCTCCTATCCTCTCCTCTTCTCTCCTCTCCTCTTCCTTCTCCTCCCCCTCTGTCGCCGCTCGTAAGAGACTGCTGGGAGCCGGCAGCGCAGGGCCACGAGCGACGAGTGGCCGTCGCCGGCCCCTGGCGGCTCCCAGCTCGAAGACTGCACTCTGGCGGCTGCGCCTCGCGGAGAGCGCACTTTCCAGGGGTTCCAGGATCGCCCGCTCGGCCACCAGGGAGGCCCGACAGTCGTGGCCCGAGAATTATGTTGTTCCCATCCTGCTTAAGGACCGCATCCCAGAAATAATGTCGAGCACCCGGAGAAGTGTCAAAAGAGTGTCGAAACAGTGTCGGGCGAGTGTCTCCCAGGGCCCGACACCTGAAAACCCTTGAGTTTCCGTACTTGTTTTGGGCGCTCGAAATTCTTTCTGGTGAACAAGGCTAAAATAGGTTGGAGCATCATAGCGCTCGGCCACCAGGGAGGCCCGACAGTCGCGGCCCGAGAACCGCCCAGGGGGTTGCAGACCGTCGTGGCCGAGGTCCTGTCGACCGACGACAATGCCGTCCCGTCCGTGAGCGCCTCCCCAGACCTCCTCGCCTCCCGGGGTCCTTGCCAGGCCTCGGGACCGTCCCGGGGCAAAAGACCGTCCCAGGAGTAGGTCAGGCATGTTTCCCTTCAGGCGGATGTTGGGCGACAAATCAAACATACCCCAGCCCTGCCCCAAACTATATATATATATATATAAACAAAAAACAAACAAAATAAACAAAAAGAATAAGAAAAACAAAAAAACAAAAAAACAAAAAAAAAAAAAAAAAAAAAAAAAAAAAAAAAAAAAAAAAAAAAAAAAAAAAAAAAACGTCCCCATACTACTGTTGACTACTTTTGAGTACTCCTCCTGTAGAGGGACAGGCCCGACTTAATCCCAGGGACGGAGTAAAGAACTCTGGGGCCTCCGCTGCGAAACAGTCGCGACGGCGGGGAGGCCTGGTCTGGGAGCAGGCGAGGAAAGCTGCCCGCCAGTCCAAGACATCGCAGGCGCTGGCAAAAGTGCGAGGCGGGGATGTATCCGTATCCACCGCCTGGGAACCGACGTCCTGGTGCCCCAGCGGGTGGTGGATACGGATATCTTTCGGCCCCAGGGGCCCGAATATGTCCATATCCACCGCCTGCCGAGGCTCCGAAAACTGACGCTCCAGGCGGTGGTCATGTATAAATTCCCGCCTCGGAAAAAGCAGCGCACGTAACGAAGTTGGGAAGTGGCACGGCAGCCTCGCGAGAAACTCCTGACCGCACCTGCACAGCGCGACCGAGCGGGGCCCGCTCAGCCACGCGCCTCGGGGGCGCGCAGGCATGAATGAGCGATCCGTGGATTCGGCGCAAGGTGCAAGGTCGCCGAATCCCTGGATCGGGGGAGGCGCCCTCCCCAAAGTGCGGCCGGTGCCGCCTCGCTCGGCGGCGGAAATCCGCGACGCGATGTCCAATGGAAACGGGACCCGTCGCTAATCTCAGGTCGGGCCTCTCCCCCTACAGGAGGATTTTGGACGAAAAAATCAAAATACCAAAACATGCGCCAAAAATATTCCAAACATGGTCAAAACAACGTCCCCAAACTACTTTTTGACTTTTTTTGAATATTCCCCCTGGAGAGGGACAGGCCCGACGTACCGCTAATCCACGCCCCCTTGATCCGTGTTGCGGGGATCTTCTGACCCGGGTCAAGCCAGGCCCGGGCCAATCTGGCCCGCAAAATCCTGCAGGATCCTGCACCCGCCGCACCCGGGTCAATGCGAAGGATCCTGCAGGATCCTGCACCCAAACCCGGGTCAATGCGACCCTGGCGCTGCAGGATCCTGCAAGATTCGGCGCTCCTTGGCGGCGCGCACAGGGGGGTGGCGGCAGGGGGGAGGGCTTCTTAGAAGCAGGCTGCTTCTTAGAAGGCGCTGGCCTGCGCCTTCTAAGAAGCAGGGGTGCTTCTAAGAAGCCCTCCCTGCCTCTGCGCGTGGCCGAACTCTGGCTGACCCCCGTTTGCACTGACCCCCGCCTCGAGGCCCCCTCGATCCGCGGTTGCGGTCGCCCGAGTGCCGGGCGCCTGGCTCCCGCCGGGCCTCCGAGGGGGGCACCCTTGGGGCCTGGGAGGCCAGGAGGCCTGCCGCCACGGCCCAGTCACACTACAGGGCGGTTTTATAGGATTTTTGTTTAAATATAGGATGTTCACTACATGATCGGGGAGACGTAAGACCCGGGTTCGGGGGACTCGGAAATCCCCGACGAGGTCGTCAAAAAAATGACGAGGCCGAGCCTGCATTTTGACGAGGCCTCCCGCTGCAGACATCCCACGAAGCTCCTCCTCGTCAAAATCCGAGGCGCGGTCGTCAAAAAACGATGGCGAACCCGAGTCCTGGCAAACCCGGGTCTTACGCTCCCCCGACATGATTAAGTTATGAATAAATGTATGCATGAACTCATCGTTGTTTTTCCCCACATCCTGAGTGGGGTTCTTGTTTTCCCAGAACACCCTCTCCTTCTCCTCCTCCTCCCGCGTCCTTCTCCTAAACCATACCATACCAAGCCATACCATACCAATACCTTACCATACCAATACCATACCAAGCCATACCAAGCCATACCATATCAATACCATACCATACCATACCAATACCATACCATACCATACCATACCAAACCAATAACATCCCAAGCCATACCAAGCCATACCATACCAATACCATACCATACCAATACCATACCAAACCACGAACAGAACAGAACAGCAACCAATACCATACCAATACCATACCAAATCATACCAAGCCATACCATACCAAGCCAAATCAGGTTTCGTGCCCCTCCCACCCATCCAGGGAGGCCCCGCCTGAGCGAGGAGGGTATTCGCATCACCTGTTATTTCTCAGGTTTCGTGCCCCTCCCACCCCTCCAGGGAGGCCCCGCCTGAGCGAGGAGGGTATTCGCATCACCTGTTATTTCTCAGGTTTCGTGCCCCTCCCACCCCTCCAGGGAGGCCCCGCCTGAGCGAGGAGGGTATTCGCATCACCTGTTATTTATCAGGTTTCGTGCCCCTCCACCCCTCCAGGGAGGCCCCGCCTGAGCGAGGACGCTATTCGAACACAGTGTTATTTATCAGGTTTCGTGCCCCTCCCACCCCTCCAGGGAGGCCCCGCCTGAGCGAGGAGGGTATTCGCATCACCTGTTATTTCTCAGGTTTCGTGCCCCTCCCACCCCTCCAGGGAGGCCCCGCCTGAGCGAGGAGGGTATTCGCATCACCTGTTATTTCTCAGGTTTCGTGCCCCTCCCACCCCTCCAGGGAGGCCCCGCCTGAGCGAGGAGGGTATTCGCATCACCTGTTATTTATCAGGTTTCGTGCCCCTCCCACCCCTCCAGGGAGGCCCCGCCTGAGCGAGGAGGGTATTCGAACACAGTGTTATTTATCAGGGTTTCGTGCCCCTCCCACCCCTCCAGGGAGGCCCCGCCTGAGCGAGGAGGGTATTCGCATCAATACCATGTTATTTACATGGTTTCGTGCCCCTCCCACCCCTCCAGGGAGGCCCCGCCTGAGCGAGGAGGGTATTCGCATCACCTGTTATTTCTCAGGTTTCGTGCCCTCCCACCCCTCCAGGGAGGCCCCGCCTGAGCGAGGAGGGTATTCGCATCACCTGTTATTTATCAGGTTTCGTGCCCCTCCACCCCTCCAGGGAGGCCCCGCCTGAGCGAGGACGCTATTCGAACACAGTGTTATTTATCAGGTTTCGTGCCCCTCCCACCCCTCCAGGGAGGCCCCGCCTGAGCGAGGAGGGTATTCGCATCACCTGTTATTTATCAGGTTTCGTGCCCCTCCCACCCCTCCAGGGAGGCCCCGCCTGAGCGAGGAGGGTATTCGCATCACCTGTTATTTATCAGGTTTCGTGCCCCTCCCACCCCTCCAGGGAGGCCCCGCCTGAGCGAGGAGGGTATTCGCATCACCTGTTATTTATCAGGTTTCGTGCCCCTCCCACCCCTCCAGGGAGGCCCCGCCTGAGCGAGGAGGGTATTCGCAAACCATGTGATAGAAAAGGATGGAGAGGGCGAGGGCAGGTCGGCAATTTCTCTACAAAATGTTGCTTGATCCCGCTAGCCCAAAAACATCATTATGTGGGGAACTCCGTTAGCATAATTAATACTAAATCCCTGCATGTGTAATACATGATCCGCACGCGGAGCATGTGTAAAAAACGGCATTGTACGCCCCCCCCCCAGGCGGAGGCTCTCAGGAGATGGCCTGCCTCCCCCCAAGGATGTTTTGCATTCCTCCCCCACCCTCACGTGCGTCACGGGGGGGGGGGGGGGCGTGGCGGGGTGACGGCAACGGGGCGGGCGCGGGCATGGTAGGAGCAGGAGTGACGAGTGATGGCGGAACGCGCTAGCAGCAGTAGCAGCACCCACTGGAGGCCCCACGACAACGACGACTAAGGCGACGACGACCCGCGGCGGCGACATCATCGACAACGACAACGACGACGACGACGACGACGTGCAAAGGCGACGACGACGACGGCGACGATCGGCGGCGGCGGCGATGACGACGACCACCATCACCAACGCATGCCTGTCGGCCTGTCGTAGCACAACATGCCTGTGAGCACGGCGCCAAATCTGCGGCGGGAGCTGGCACACCCCACGCGCACGTGCCATCTCGGGGGGGGGGACCCCTGGTGACGGACGTCACGGGCTCACCAGAAATCAACAGCAGCAAGACGCTGCGTGTGCTTGCAGACAAGAAGCAGACGCAGAGGCTGGGGGAACCAAAAGGTACCGATACCGCTACTCCCCGGACCTCTCCAGGGGTGCGTCCTGACCAGAATTTCGAGGCCAATCCAGCGGTGGCGACGAGGGCCTCCCAGGAGGCCTAAAAAGGAGAAAACGAGGGAAGGGTAGAGGTATGGGTACCTTTTCCTCCTCTGAGAGGCGGCGGTGCCTCTGGCCGCGGCCGCACTGCCAGCAGCGGCCCGGCCACCGTGCCGGCTGCGGCGTCGTCGGCGGCCTCGGCGGCCTCGGCGGCGCGGGCGGCGTCCAGGCGGCGGGCTGCCTTGGGGCCGGGTGGGCCCAGCATCTTAGAGGGGCAGGCCGGGCCTCCTCCTCCTCCTCCTCCTCCTCCTCCTCCTCCTCCTCCTCCTCCTCCTCCTCTGCTGCGTGGCAGGTCCTGCCGGAACTGGCGCGCATGCTCTGGGAGCCCTTGGGGACAGCTGCACGTCGCAGAGGAGCTCACAGAATGCGCGTGAGACCTCTCATTTGAAAGCGAGTCGCCTCGGCTGGCCCGGCCGCCCCAGGAATCAGCTAAAACACGCTTTTTGGAGAGACGAGGTGACGGCTGGCTTGGGCTGTCGGCTGGTGGTCCTCAACGTTGACAGACGTTGGCTGGCTCCTCGGGAGAAACATGTCTCCCAGGCCGAACGAAACCAAAAGAATAACCCAATGACGATTCGGATGCCGCTCGGGCTGAAAGACTCAACGACGCACCCGCAGAATGCTGGAGTGCGGAGGTGCCACTCATCGAAGCACGGACTACCACACGAACTGGTCCTATCGATCTCAGCAAGATGTGCCGCGGTCCGGGAAACGCACGGCGCATCCTACAGGGCAGTTGTTTTTAATGCATGGGATTGTTTAAAACATAGGATCTTTAATACCTGCTGAATGTATGCATAAATGAATGCATAAACTCGTGCTTGCATTTATGAATCAACCCTTATTTTTAATACATGGTCCGCACGCGGAGCATGTATTAAAGACGGCACTGCATGGAGGACGGACCGACGGCGCACGAAAGCTCGGACCCCCGGAGGCGCCGAGGCCTGCCACGCCAGAGCAGGCGCACCTCGCTGCGAACTTCCGCGCGTTGCACCAGCGGCGCGCCCAGGGGGGAAAATGAGAAGGGTGAAGGGGCCCCAGAACACCCAAATAAATACACACAAATAACAAGACTCACCATATATTTCCAGTATTTTCTGGGTGTCTGTCTTTCCCCCCACTTCCCATAGTTTCCCACTGGGAATCGACGATTAATTGTGCCTGTGTGTTGTTTCCCCTCCTTAAAGGGGGCCTCTCAGAAGGCTCGGAAGCCCCCCCGACGTCTGAGAAGTGTTCCGAGCCTGCCCCTGCGTCACAAAACAAAAACACAACTCGCAGAGGGCGCGAGGGCTTCTGAGAAGGCCCACCGCCTTCTGAGAAGGCCTTCTCCTTCTCACCTCCCCCCTCGCTCGCCGCCAAATTGATGATGTGTCCCCCCACCTCTTCTCATTGCAGAAGAAATCGCTACGGGAGGTTATTCTCGGCCCAGGGGCCTCACTGGGCCCTGTGGCCTTCCAAAGACGGCTCAGGATGAAAGTCCGGTTCAGGAGAAACGGTCCAGATCTGCAGGGGTCGACGTCGTCAACCTTCCCACTTCCCCCCCTCGCTCCCCTCGGGAGCGGCCAAGAGGGGGGCGTCCAAGAGGGGGGGTGCAAATCATGGCCGGCGGCATGTGCGCGGCCCAAGGGGGAGGGTCCAAGGACGTGATGAAATAAGAAGAGGCGCCACGAAATCTGGGGAAGTATCATGGCCCCCGCCATGATATCCACCCCCTCCCCTAGTCCTCACCCCCCTCTTTGCCGCCCCCGATCCCCGCCGAGTGCAGTCACCGAGACGGGCGGCTCATTTGAGCAGGGACCGACCGTCCCGGCATTCCTATATTCCTACCACGAAATGTTCTCAGAACCCAGAAATGCTCTAAGAACAAGAGCAATGTTCTGAGAAAAGAAACCCGACGTGTTGAAACGAGACAGGCTCCGCCAGAAATGTCCTGAGAACACTTCTTGGGAACCACAAAAGGTTCTTAGAACATTGCTTGGTGGGGCTATAGGCGAGCCAAGACTCTTCGCCACTGCTTGGCTCATCGGGGCCGCCCGGGTCGACCGCACCTCTCCAGCCACGCCGGCGCTCGCGCGTCTTGCGGCGCTTTCGTGCGCACGCGTCGCGCCGGCAGAGGGCGGCCAAGTGCGCGCACGTGCGCCTTGAGCAGGGACGGACCGTCCGGGCATCCCTCCGGGCCTACCACGACATGCTCTTAAGAACCCAAAATCGGGGAGGGACAGGCCCACCTTTATGACAGAGTGGTTTAGAGAAAGCGACCTGCGGCCCAAACCTGGCGGGCGCAGGCCACGGCGCCCTCTCGAGAACCGAAAACGGACAATTCACTAACCGACGTGTCACTGTTGGGGGTTCTGTCCACCCCCGACAAAAATGTTCGACGAGCAAAAACAATGTTCTTAGAGCATACAGTCGGACTCGATTGGAGAGGACACGCGAGAGGACACAAGACCCTTCAAAAGACCACGTTGCCACAGACATGCAGGAGGCACGAGTCGCAAGACACAGGACACGAGAGTACCCTTGACCTGGCAGGGTCGACCTACTACTCGGGGCCGCCTGTAGACCCGATGTGTTATAACAAGGTAATATCAGCCACAAAGGTTCTCGGAACAGTTCGTGGAGAGCACAAGAGGTTCTTAGAGCATTCTTGGGTAGCTCTACAGGCGAGCTAGGACGCTTCGCCACTGCTTGAGCGCAGAAGGGCTCTTGCCCAGGTGCGCGGATCCACTGATGGCTGGCCAGGAGCTCCAAAAAAGAACTTGGCTACGCGCAAGCGTCAGTCCAGGCGAGGCCGACGCCGCCTACGACGCCCTCTGCTCTCAACCAACACACCGAGGGCACCAGGAGCGCGTTTCTCTATTTTCGGCGATAATGGGCATTATAGGGGGGGGCAGGGGGGGTTTAATGTAACGCCTCCCCCCCGCCGTGTGCCCGATGCGCACGGCGGCAGTGCCCGGAGCGCATTGGGGGGGGGGGGGGGGGGCGTTACGTTATTAGGGCGGGGGGGAGGGGGGGGGGGCCGGGGCTACAATGCCCAGTCTGCCCCAAGCAAAAAGAAACACGCTCCTGAGGCCAAATTCGGGGGTGGACAGAACCCCCTCAAGTGAAACGTGGGCCCCAACCAGGCGGGCGCCAGCCTCGAAACTGACGGCCGCGGCGCCCCCTCGAGAACCGAAACAACGAGCACTTCACTGATTAATCGACGCGTCAAGGGGGGGGTCTGTCCACCCCCGACATATGTCAAAGACTGCAGCTTCTGACCGCAGCTGTTGAGAGGCAACGTAGGGTTAAGTCGGACGTGTCCCCCATACAGGCGGATATTGGACGAAAAAATACCCAAAACAAGCATAACAAAACATGCAAAAATACTAGAAAATCGTTTCCATACTATGATTTGACTGTGTTTGAAGATTCCTCCTGTAGAGGGACACGCCCGACTTAACGTAAGGGTGGGACCAGCTCCCGGGGAGACGCACCGAGCTGGAACGGGCAGCCCATCGCCGCTGCGCGCCAGCGATTTTGGCTCCCGACGAGAGCGAGTCCGCACCCTCTCCTGGGCGCGCAATGGGAATAGGCAATGCGTGAGCAAGTTTGGGTCGATGCATCCCATCGGGCCAAACAGATAGACGACCTGCCAAACCACCGCAACCCAACCCGAGGACCCGAATTTGACCCGCATTGCGGGTTTTGGGGGGCGGGCGGGTTCCACGTGTTCCCCGACCCCCCCCCCACCCACTGGAAACGGAGGGTAATTGGAGGCCTTCGGGTTGGGTTAGAGTGGTCTGGTGGGTGGTGATGAATGGGCAATGAATGGGCCATTGAACGGCCCCGTCGGCGATGAATGTAGGGAAACGAGCTCTATACACCGACGCGTTTGCCGACCCTGCGCTGAAATTCGCACAGGAACGCGGATCCTGGTGTATACAGGATCCTGGTGTATACAAGTTTCGTTGCTTCCCTTGGAAACCGGGGGAGAAGCATACGCCACACCACCCCGACGTCGTTCCCGACCCTCCAAATATTCCTGGGATTGAAGAACCGTCCGCCACTGGTTATGTATGTGCTCCAGTTCCCGAGAATGGGCGAGTTGGGGTCGAGGCATACCCCCCTGACGTTGCCCCCGGGGCCGCTCCGGCTCGCGGCGCAAACGGGCGCTCGGCGCCGCAGTCTCCGTGCCCCTGCTCGCGCCCCCGACCCCAAGGAGGAGCCAGAGCGGGGGCATGGATCGGGCTCCTGCTGAAACGATGGGAGGCGGGGGGGCACTCTGGGTCTCTTCGGGAAGTCGATCGTCGGGCAGAGCGGGGCATGGACCGGGTTCCTGCTGAAACGATGGGAGGCAGGGGGCACTCTGGGTCTCTTCGGGCATTCGATGGTCGGGCCTTCGAGCACTCGATCCTGGGGCCTTCTCATGGGAGGATCGAGCATTCAAGCCTCGGGCCTTCGGTCCTGGATCCTAGGGAGGGAGGCAGCCCGGAACACATCCCTCGGGAGCGGCCAACAGGGGGGTGATGACCATCCTGGGTTTCTTAATGAGCGTGGGGGGGGGGGCCCCGACGGGGGTCGACCTCGTCTCGTCGTCGCGCCGCGACGTGGGTCGATGTGGGGTCGTCGGCGGGGGTGACGCCCCCCCCGACGCTTGTTGAGAAACTCGGAGTAGGGGTCGGATTTCGCCACGTCGCCGACGCATTCCGAACCCTGCCAACCGCCGCCCATCCCATCGAGTTGCCTGACTCGCTGCTCAGCAAGGGCAGGGCTCGGACTCCACCGAAGACCGCCGCTCCCGGCCACGGCTTCTGTAGAGAGCACGACATCCACCCCCATAGTCAGCACCCCGACAAGCGAAGCACTTGGTAGACGCACCCGACGAGGCAGTCGAACAGGGCGGGGCTGCCCAGTACACATGCCCAGGGCCGCTCCCTGAACTCCCAACTCTCGGGGTCGGGGTGGCTGTCCCTCCCCTGCTTCTGCCCGAAGCCCTCTCGGCACCCCGAGCCCGCCCGACCCCCCCCCTGAGGGGCGACGACAGGGGACCACTGGCATAGAGGGGGGGGGATGCATCGACCTGGAATCGGCGATGCGTCGCCGATGGATCGGCGATAGGCCCCCGATCGTGGATCCGCTCCTTCCTGGGCGGGGTGGGGCTGTCGGGCCCCTATCGGCGATCAGTGGGCGATTGGGGATCGAAGCGTCCCCCCAGGAAGAGGAGGAGGAGGAGGAGGAGGAGGAGGAGGAGGAGGAGGAGGAGAAGGAAGAGAAGAGGGAGGAGGAGGAGGAGGAGGAGGAGGAGGAGGAGGAGGAGGAGGAGGAGGAGGCCTATCCCCTCCTATCGTTGTCATCGGCGCCGCGCCCCCCCGCGGCGCCGCGCCCCCCGCGGGGCCTCCTCCAGCTCGCCGCGGCCCAGCGAGCCCCCGCCGCCGAGGAGGCACAGGCCCCAGCCTGCAGGGGTCAGGTCGGGCATGTGTCCCCCTAGTCCCCCTACAGGCGGCGCTTGGGCGAAAAATACTTCAATCTAATCCAGAAAAGAAGTAAAAACAAATATCCAAAAATTATCGAATAAATTGTCCCCAGACTATTTTGGTATTTTTGCAGACTCCTCCTGGCAATCCAAACACCTTCCAAATTTGGCGAACAACTCGTCCCCGGACTATTTTTTGATTAGTTGTTGCCTGTTCCTCCTGTGGAGGGACACACATGACTCGACAGCAGGGGCCCGGCTCGCGGGGCGGGCGCGCTCAGCCCCCCGGGGGGGCCCCGCGCGCCGGCGGCGGAGCGCGCAGAGACGCGGGCGCACCTCCGCCGCGAGCTGGGGCCGCAGCACGGCGGACGGCGGTGCACATGCGGTCCCCGTGGCTTCTGGCCAGGGGGTCGCGCAAAGACGGGCCCCGGACCCAGAACGGGCCAGGCCGGTGGCGGCTGTATACAGGCATGGTGTACGTATAGAGGCGTACGCACATGTAGATCGTATCGTGCTTGACTGCACATGTGCAATACAATCATGCATGCATACACACATACATGCATATACACATACATACAAGCATACATACAGACATACATACATACAGACATACATACATACATACCTACATACATACATACATACATACATACATACATACATACATACATACATACATACAGTCATACGTACACACACGTACACATACATGAATGCACACATACACATATACATACATAACTACACACATACATAACTACACACATACATACATACATACATACATACATACATACATACATACATGCATACATACACACAAACATACAAACATACAAAAATACATACATACATACATACATACATACATACATACATACAGACAGACAGACAGACAGACAGGCAGACAGACAGACAGACAGACAGACAGACAGACAGACAGACAGACAGACAGACAGACAGACATACACACATACATACATACATACATACATGCATGCATGCATGCATGCATGCATGCATGCATGCATACATACATACATGCATACATACGTACATACATACATACATGCATGCATGCATGCATACATGCATGCATTCCTGCATGCATACATACATGCATGCATGCAGCGGCGAGGCGAGGCGCGAAACCCTCCGACCCCGCGGCCGTCCCCCAGGCGCTCTCCAGGCGCCCCCCCCAGGGGGCGCGCTCCCTGGGCGAGGCGCAGAGCCGCGGCGGGGTTTGCTCTCGCTCTGTCTCGCGTTTGCCTCGACTCCGCCTTTTTACCTCAAAGCGAGATCGACACGAACACGGCCCACGAAATCGCCAAAAACAACGTTTAGGTCCAGCCCTGAGCCGCGGGCCGGAAGGCTACGGAGGGGGCATCCCCGGAGGCTGGGAGGCCGCCGAGGGCGCGCGGGAGCGCGCCCGAGAACAGCTGGGCCGGCGAGGCCCTCGGAGAAGAGAGCAGGAGGAGGGAGAGGAGGAGGAGGAGGAGGAGGAGGAGGAGGAGGAGGAGGAGGAGGAGGAGGAGGAGGAGGGGGAGGAGGAGGAGGAGGAGGAGGAGGCCCTCGAGGACGGAAAAAACACACAAGCAAGAACTGACGGCGCTCCGCACGGAGCGCCGCGGGCCTTCCCGAGGAGGGCTCGGAAGGCTTCCCGCCCTCCGAGTAGCCTCCTGGTCCTTCTCCCAAGACACGGCGGGCTTCGCAGAAGGCCAGAGGGCTTCTGAGAATGGATAAGAAAAAATTGTAAAATCATGAAATGTTAAATACTCATGAACTGTTGGATCTGCGCTGGACCCCCCTCCCTGGCCAGGAGGCCGCCGAGGACGCGCGGGAGCGCCCGAGAACACCTGGGCCGGCGAGGCCCTCGAAGAAGAAAACACAGCACAAACATGATTGAGCCCAGGGACACACAAATATAAATACACACAAACCTCAGGATTTCCGGTATTTTCCTGTACTTTCTGGATTTTCGTCTCACCCCCACTTCCCACATTTTCAATATTTCCTCGGGAGTTGACGATTATTTGCGTCTAAGTGTTATTTCCCTCCAGAAAACAGACACTGTCGGCGCTCCGCGCGGAGTTCTTGGCTCTGCGCGCGCCAGGGGCGGCGCCGGAAGCGCCGCCGAGAGGGCCCAGCGTAGAGCCAAGAACTCCGCGAGGAGCGCCAACAGTTTTTTTGTGTATGGCGATGTTTGTTCTTCGAGGCCCCTCCCTAAAAAGGGAAACCAAAAGATACCGACAGCAATGCTCCCCCGATCTCTCCCGGGGTGCTTCCCATCCAGACTGCCGAGGCGAAGCCAACAGTGATGTCGAGGGCCTCCCAGGAGGCCCGAACAGGCGAAACCTAGGCGCAAGGGCAGCGGCATCGATGCCTTCTCCTCCTCTGACCTCAAACATCTGGCGCCTCGATTGGTTCGACACGCGGGCCCAAGACATCTCGACCACGTCCCCGGTACCGGCTTCTCATCCCGAGTCGCTTTCTGACGCACCCGAAGCCCGGGAAGGGCCCGGAGAGGCCGAAAACTGCTGGCGGCGCGCACAAGGGGGTGGAGGGAGGGTGGAGGCCTTCTAAGAACCAAGGGTGCTTCTAAGAAGCCCTCCCCCCTCCCCCCACCCCCCTCTGCGCGTGGCTGAAACTGTGAAAAACCTCCGTCTCGATGGGACTGACCTGGCCCTGAGGTCCATCCTCCTCCCCGGCAGGGCCCGCGGCGCTGGGCGGCACGGTCTGCGCGGACAACAGCCGCACGGTGGCCGTGAGGGTGTTGCGCTCGGGGCGCCAGCCATGGCGGGCGCGGCGCGCCAGCAGCGCCAGGCCGTCCTGGGGGCAGAGCATCAAGTGTATGTCTCGGCGGTGGGCAAACCTCCCTTTCGTAAACCACCCTTTCGTGAAAATGGCCTCGGACCGACACCGACGGACCTGGACACGCAAAAAATGACGGCCGCGACGCCCTCTCGCGGACCGAAAACGGCCCATGCGCTGATCGACGTGTCAGGGCAGGAGGCCCACCAACCTCTGCATGTTGATGGCGCTTGTTAGTACGATTATGATTAGTATTATGAGTAGTACTATCATGAACATAAATTTGATTCTCCGTATTATTAGCATTATCATCATTATCATTCTTATTATTAGCATTATTATGATTAGTAGTATCACTATTATCCTTATTATTATTATTATTTTCATTATTAATATTCGTATTATTATTATCATTATTATCATTAGTACTATTACGATTATGATTATGTTTATGCTTATTATCATTATTTTTATTATTATTGTTATTAGTATTATTATTATTAGAATTATTATTATTAATATTATTATTAGTATTAGTAATATTATTACTATCATTATTATTAGTATTATTATTTATTGTTATTATTAATTTCTTCGACGACCACGGGCCGAGACCAGGCGACCGAGCGAGGCCCCGCGTGCGGGGCTCCGCACCCGTGGGAGGCTGCCGGGCACCAGAGCACACGGCGGGCCAGATGGCCCCAGCTAGGGGGCTCACAGGCGAACCCTATAGCCAGACCAAGGATAGAAGATCATCCTTCAAGAACATGGGACCCTCCGCCAGCCAGAACACATGCAGAATATCCGAGGGTACCCTCCCCAGGATGCACAAGAAACTCCAACAAGCACGAAGGACATTCGGGTACCCTCCCCCAGCCGACTTCGATCTTGTGCCTCGGTCCGGCTGTACCCCTACCCCCCTACGATTTCCGAGGGGGAGGGGGAGGTTCACTTCGCTCGGGAGCTCCCGAGCGAAGTGAACCCCACCCTCCCCCTCAGAAGTCGGTGGGGGAGTAGGGGTGGGGTTCGCCTGTAGGACCCCTATCAGAAGCAGCCCTTCCTCTCTGTCCGTCCACCGTTTGCGTGGCCGTCCCTGCGACCGAGAGCGGTGCCACTGCAAGAGTTCCTTACCACAGGGGCCAGGGACCGAGACAGGCGCCGAGCAGGCTTCACGTACCCCCAGGCGGACTCCAACTGTTTGACCTGCGCCGATCCTGGCCGCGCTCATCCTGGGTCAGAGATCGGTGTATACCCCCTTTTGAGCACCCGCCGCGCACGCACACGCCCACACACACACACGCACACAGACACAGACACAGACACAGACACAGACACAGACACAGACACAGACACAGACACAGACACAGACACACACACACAGACACAGACACACACACACACACACACACACACACACGCGCGCGCGCGCGCACGCACGCACGCACGCACGCACGCACGCACGCACGCACGCACATACACACACACACCAACACACAACACACACACAACACAACACACGCATACGCACGCACGCACGCACGTACGCCGCACGCACGCACGCACGCACACACACATACACACATACACACACACACACACACACACACACACACACACACACGCACGCACGCACGCACGCACACAATCACACACACACAATCACACACACACACACACACACACACACACACACGCACGCACGCACGCACGCACGCACGCACGCACGCACACGCACGCACACACACGCACACACACACACGCACACACACACGCAGGCATGCACGCGTCGGCGGCTAGGCAGAGTCACTGCGCTGGCGATAGGGCGATGGTACGTGCACGAAACGTGAATCAAGCCACCATGCAGGAGGGGGAGGGAGGAGGCGCCCGGCTGCGGCGGGAGGGAGGAAGCTTGGCCCGCTCAGAGGCCAGGCGCGCGGCGGGGGCGGCGCCGGGGGGGGCGCCGAGGCAGGCTGCAAGGCAGCAGGCCGTAGCGAGGAGCCAGTGCCCAGCTGGGGCTGGTGACGAAGGCGTTAACGCGAAAAGAAGCCCCGGTCCGGCGGGTTGCCGAGGACACACGAGACCCGAGTAAGCTGCCGGGGCAGCGAGCGGCCGAGGCGGTGCAGTGTCCACAGATCCGATGTCGTGATTTTTTCAAGACGGGGTCCCTGGAAGTCTCGACCTATTCCCCAGGGCCGGTTTTTCATCCTGAGTCGTTTTTTGACGGTCCGGAGGCCCGGCGAGGGCCCCTGGGAGCCGAAATTTGCGAAAAAACTCCGTCTTGATTTTTGTCAACACGTCGGATCTCTGGGTGCGAAACCACCTCCAGGCTGTAGGTGAGGGGCTGGCCTCAAAACCAAGCAAGGCGGAGGCGGGGGGCGGCGGAGCCCGAGGTCTGGAAGGCCGCGCCCTCAGGGAGGAGGGGAGAAGCAGAGGAGCAGGAGGAGGAGGAGGAGGAGGAGGAGGAGGGGGAGGATGAGGAGGAGGAGGAGGAGGAGGAGGAGGAGGAGGAGGAGGAGGAGGAGAGCAGGAGGAGGGAGAGGAGGAGGAGAGAGAGCAGGAGGAGGAGGAGGAGGAGGAGGAGGAGGAGGAGGAGGAGGGCGGGGAGGGGCGGTGGCAGGCCCAGCCCACGGGGCCCCTGGTAGCGAGGGGGAGGGGGGAGGGGGGGGGCACGGCCGGAGGGCCGGAAGGCAGGCCCGCGCCGCCAGGGCGAGGGCCGCTGGGGGGAGCGAGAGGCACCGGACTGGTGCGCTCTGTTGGTATAGACGGAGGTCGGCGACTCCGAAGGGTGCGGTTTGCAAAGGGTGCGGGTTGCAACTGGCACCCTGGGGGGCACCCTGGGGGGCGGGCGGGGACCTCCGCGCAGCTCTCCGCCGCGCCCCGAGGCGGCCCGACGAGGACGGCGTGGTACCTCCACGGGGCCCAACGGCGCCGATCGCAAACCACACCCCGGCGTAACCGCACCCTTTGCAACCGCCGAGAAGGCCCGAAGCGAGAGGGCCGGGGAGACAAGGCAAAGAGTGCGGAGACCCAGCAGGGAGCCTGGGTGCCAGCGGGGCCAGGCAGGTGGAGGGGGAAGGCGCCTGGCGCGCAGGGAGGCGCCGAGGAGTATCGTTTCACCGATCCCCATCCCCAGCGGCGTGGCCTGGGCCCCACTGGCCGATTTACCCCCTAGATGCGGATATAGGCCGTTCCCTTCGAGTTTCGAAGGATGTATCCCCAAACGGTGTGGTAATTTGGTGGGGGTCTCGAAGGGGATGAGGATGGGGATGGGGGTCGGTTAAACGATACTGACAGCGCACGGGCAGGACCGGAGACGACGGCGGAAGCGAACAGGAGCCCCATACCCGTGGGGTACTGGGCCGTCCACAGGCTCCGTGTGCTGCCGAAGCGGGGAGCAGCCGAGGCGGTGCAGCGCAGAGCCTCCTCCAGGTGAGGGGTTGGGCCTGAGAACCAGGCAAGGCGGGGAGGCGGAGGGGGGGGGGAATAAAACACACACACACAGGCACACACGCGCACACACACACACTTTTTCCTTCGGCGGCTAGGCAGGGTCACTGCGATGGCGATGCGGCGTTGGTACATGTAAAGACTGTAAAGACACACACACACACACACACACACGCACACACGCATACGCAAACGCACACGCACACACTCCCTTCGACCAAGTACCGAAAACAAATAACTACTGGAGCCCACCCAAATCGGAGCCGAATTGATGAGGTCGTAAGATCGTGCCGCATCGCCAATGCATCGGCGACGCATCGGCGACGTTGGAATGGATAATAGAGCAAGCTTTTACACTGCGCCGCAACGTCGCTGGTGCGGAGGCGGGGGA